TCACAGTATATATATTCACAGTATCACAGTATATATATTCACAGTATCACAGTAGATATATTCACAGTATTACAGTACTCTATGATATTGTAGTTCCTGGATCATCTCTCAGTGTTTGCACTTCTTACTTTCCAGCATGCAAAGACAGAGAGGATGCAGTTACCATGGCAACCCTTCTTGTGTGTGTGTGTGTGTGTGTGTGCGTGCGTGCGTGCGTGCGCGCGTGCGCGCGTGCGTGCGTGCGCGCGTGCGTGCGTGCGCGCGCGCGTGCGTCCTGGCCTCTGATTGGCTGACGGTAGAGAGTGGGCGGGCAGGTTGAGCGTCTCTCTCTCAGATATCAGGACAGAGAGACAGAGAAGAAGCTTCTCATCACTGCTCTCTCCTTCATCCCTCCATCTTCTTCTTCTTCCTCCTCTTCCTCTTCTTCCTCCTCTTCCTCGTCTTCCTCCTCTTCCTCTTCCTCTTCTCTGTCCAGAACAAACACTCTTTTTCTGTCTTCTTCTTCTTCTCTTTTCTGTCTTCTCTCCTCTGACCTCCACACAGACAGACAGACAGACAGACAGAAAGACAGACAGGTCTAACTCTTGGCCTTCTTCATCTCCACCATCATCTTCATCATCCTCGGAGGAGCTCCCTGACCCCTCGCCTCACCGGGTCGCCATGGCAACGGTCATCTGTACTCGTTTCACCGAAGAGTTTCAGCTTTATGAAGAGCTGGGCAAGTAAGTATCTTCATCATCTTCATCTTCTTCTTCATCATCATCATCTTCATCAGTTCTACGCGGCTGTGTTGAACATCTAACTTGTCTGACTGAGTATCACGAATATTAATTCTGCTAATATTTCATGAATTAGTTTCATGTTATCTACATATGTTCTGCTCGTTATTGATTTTACTTTATTATATTTTGAGTAAATGTTACCTATTTATTTATATTCTATTCATATTTGTATCATTTTTAATATCATTTAAATTATGTTGAAATTGTTTGTTACATGTATGTGAAATTCATATATTATTTAGATTTTTGTTAATTGTAATCATTATTCAGAAATATTCAAATTAACTGTTTTATTTTATTTTCCACGTACTATTAGTAAACCTTTTTACTTATTTAAATATACATTATTTCATTTTGACGCTTTCGTTAATTTATTTATTTTAATTTTGATTAATATTATTGTTATTGTTTTAATGTTTTAGTTCTTTTAATTTTCTATTATTTCATATTTGTAATCATCAAATGTCTTTTTGTTTCTTTATTTCGTTAAATAGTTTAAAATATTGTATTAATACTTAAGATCATTTATTTATTATTGATTGTGTTGCTGATCAGTTTCTTATTAATAATGATCAACGGATGGATGAGTGGATCACCTCTCTGACCCCGTCCCACTCACTGCCCACACACACACACACACACACACACGTAATGCCAGGTCTCTTACATAATGTGATGGTGGGCGGCAGAATAACAGCAGAATTCATCTTTCAGAAGCAACAGAAATTCTTTGTGTAAAAAAACTCAGCTTCAGTTTCAAGGATGAATAAAATCAGGAGGAACATTGTATTTATTCTTTATAACAATATTCATGTTATTTATAACACTACAATGTTCTTTATGATCAGTCATTCTCTGATAAGATAGTAGTGAAGTAGTTGTGAGAGATTAAATCCCAACGTTTAGGACACTGATCCTACATTTCCCACAATGCACCCTGATAGACTCCCTACCCCGTTATTATCAACCCACTCCTTTTCTTGGTAAGACTTGCCCTGTGCAGCATTCAAGAGCTAGTATTGGTTCAGTGTAGCAGTAGTATAAGTAACAATAGTTAATGGTGTACTTGGGGAAGCAGCAGTACTTATTGTTGAAGGATCAGTAGTAGTAGCAGAAGCAATATAGTCTTAGTAGTAGTAGAAAGAGCAGCTATGGGATTCGCAGTAGTATTAGCAAAAGCGTAAGTAGTCATATTAACATTACTTAATTACTTAAGCAGTGTTACCAGTCATATTAACATTTGTAAAAGTTTGACGTCGTTTTGTTTCCTCGTAAAAAGCTGATTGGTTCCTCCTGTTGCATTTCCAGGGGAGCGTTTTCGGTGGTGCGCCGCTGTGTGAAGGTTCTGTCGGGTCAAGAGTACGCTGCCAAGATCATCAACACCAAAAAACTCTCTGCCAGAGGTGAGGACATGAAGAATAACTGCAGATATATTATTACACTTAATATCAGGAGATATCAGGTTATTCATTGGTGTTTTCTACAAACACATATTGTGATATAAAAGATCTGACCAATATAGAAAGAGATTTAAATGAAGGGGAATGGTGTAGAATAAAATTGTAATAATATTTAAAAATAATAATAATGATAAATAATAACAATAACAATATTAATTATAATCATGGTAAATAATAATAATAACAATATTAATTATAACTAGAAAATTCCGCAGGAAATTTTGACAGTGTGGCTTCTACTGCCCGAAGACGTCGCAATTTACACACACGGCAATGTTACCGGTAGTATCGTTGAGGTTCATTTGAGATATCGTTTCTCTCTTCTCTGCATTTTAGGTTCATACTCTTGGATTGAATCTTGTGTTCATGATGGACAGTCCACAAATGGCTAAATAAACCTCATTCTGAGCTTCATGTTAAGATACAGTTACTCTGTGGGGCTTTTATTTTGAAAGGGTGGGTGAGAGAGGGTGAGAGGAGACAGAATCATGTTTGACACACATACACAGGTTATGTACACAGGTTACAGCTTCATCAAAAGCATTCCAGTTAGAATTCACTCTGTGGGGCTTTTATTTTGAAAGGGTGGGACAGGGTGGGTGAGAGAGGGGAGATGAGAAGTAATCATAATGTTTGACACACACACAGAAGTTATTAAAAGACAGGAGGTCTAACAATGCCTTTGACTGAATATCTCCAAGTCATGTGTGTGTGTAGAGAGAGAGAGAGACAGAGAGAGAGAGAGAGAGAGAGAGAGAGTGAGAGAGCGTGCGTGTGTGTAAACAATGATTTTGAACAAAACTCCTGCCTCCTTTTAACAAAAAGCAAGAGTCTGAGTGCCAAAATATGGATACCATGAGAAAAATAAGACAGCTGATGTTGTTTCTATGTTTGTGGTGTTAATAATGTGAGCTCCAGAGCAATATACACAACTGGTACCGTCTGCTTTCTTTGAGAAATCAGTGGTGAGATTTAACATGGAGTCTAATGGAGCAGTTGGTTGGAGTTCATGTCGCTCTGCGGCTCTTTGAGCCAAATGTGTAAGTCCGTTGGATTCCACAGATACTTTACTGCGACCAGCACAACATTTCCAAGCTTTTGGGCCAAAATCGTGTTTCAAGAGTAAAAATTGTGGGAGCTGGAGCAATTTGTTTGGAAAAATCACAGAATATTTTCCTGCTCCGCTCCACTCTGACAGTTATGCTCTCACTCTAGCTCTTAACGAGCCGTGCAATACACACCCATTATAAAATCTGAAACAGACCCAAAATGTTCCTGAAACTTAATCTGTGACTTCATGAAAACTGTGCTAGCTATCAAAATGTCCCTTTGGCTCAATAAAGTGCAGAGTTTTGTCTACGTTTTAAACTTGGAATCATTGTTCTACGTTAAAGTATGGCTAGTCAATATGGACCCAAAGTTAAGTGTTTTTAAAGCTCTCTTCACGCCGAAACCCCATTCAAGTGAATGGAGAAATTTTGCTCCATTTTTCGCGTTATTGAGAAAACCGCTGGGCAAATCTCTCTAGAAAATAGATTGCACATGATTCCCGATCAGGCCGCACATTTTGATGTATTTTTTGTGCAATTATTGGAAACGCTGTGTGAGGAAAAGCGGGGCAAACTTTTGTACTTTCGCCCAACGAATGTTGTCAAACTTAAAAAATACACTCTCCCTGCTCTCTGAAACATTTATTAAGGATTAATCATACATTTATTAATGAGACATAGGCTATTTAGACATTCTAAATAGATCTGATTTGGTACAGACACTTACTACTCGAACCATATTGTGAAGGCATTAAATATAAACAGTATGTAAGGGTTAAGAGGACTCATGAGAGCTGGTCTATATTAGAGGTTCCCTTTCAAAATAAAACATAACTCTCTCACCTTCATCATCATATTTAATGTGATTATACTCTCAAATGTTCTTCAAACACCTCCAGTCTGTTTGATTTGTGTGTGTGTGTGTGTGTGTGTGTGTGTGTGTGTGTGTGTGT